CCCCAACCGCCCCCTCCCGCCCCCTCTCCTCCGCGCCAGGGTGTCCGCGGGCGCCGGTGCGCTCTGGCCTTTGGCCCGTGCGGGTGCCGCCGGGCCCCCTCGGAAGGCCTGGCGCGCAGTGAGGCTGGCCTGAAGGGCTGGTTATTGTCCCCAGTGTTCAGATGGAGGCATCGAGTCCAAAAGGCAAGATCGGAATGAGAACCAAAGACAGACAAAGTCGAGCCTAGGGGCAGGGCCAGCTGCGACGGGCGCATCAGATGCAGTGGCCACGAGAGTCTTGTTTTTCTGGAGGTGACCTCTGGCCAGGCCCTCGGCGCGGTGGCCCCAGAGCTCAGCCTGAGATGGTGGGAGACCTGCCTTTGCAGTCAGAGAAACTCGGGCACCGAGCAGGCCGGCGCTGTTGCTCGCTGGCCAAGCCTCAGTTTCCCGCCTGTAAAACTGGGGCTCTAGCACAGGGCGCTGCGCCACCAAAAGGAAGCAAAAGCAGGTCGCCCGTGGCTCTTAGGAAGTTCAGCCCTTTGTACCTCCGTCCCCCGACTGAGAAATGGGCTAATCACATTCCTCGGGGTGAAACTGGGAAAATCGGCAGAGACGCCCCTGGGCACTGAGAAGCCTCAGCGCTCAGCAAACTGAACCAGAAATAACTGCGTAAACGTCGGTGTTCTCCCTCTCTCCGGGACCTCCTGCAGGACCCAGGGTGCTAAGAGGAGAGCTCCTTTTCTTTCCTCTTTGCGCTCCCTTGACAGTGCCCCTGGCGTTGGCCTTTCTAGTCCAGAGAACAGCATGGAGGTGACTCCCTGGGAGGCCGCCGCGCCCCAGCTGGACACCCCGAGATGGCTTCAGGGGAGGGGAAGGGGTGCGGGGGCTGTCCCGAGAGGCGCGGGGGTGAGAAGGGCGCCCTTCTGGGCCTCCCCAGTGACCACAGGCTGCTCCAGTCGTATCTCCCTGCCCTTTCCAGGCAGTGGAGTGGATTCTGTCCCCGTGTCCATCGAAGGACGAGCAGTGGGGACAGGTCTCTGTCCCGGAGGAGTCCAGTAGCCTGGACCATCGGGGAAACGGGGTGGGCCCACCGCGCCCGGGCTCTTCTAATCCAGCTGGGTGCCCTCCGAGGGGGAATCTGCAAGAGCTCCGGGACTCCCGCCTTGGGGATGGGTGTCTTTTGTCTTTTTCTCCAAAACTACTTCCCGGCGCCAATTAAATGCGCTGTGAACCGGCACTCACTGTTCACTCATTCATTCACTCGGGGCGCCGGCGTAGAGCCGGGAACCCTGCTGACTCGGTCCCGCCTGGAAGAACTAGCCATCGGGTGGAGGAGACCGTCTCGGGACCGGCCCCGGTCTCTCCCGGCTGGCGCTGGAGCGGATCATCCGCGAGCTCCAGAGCCCTCTCCGCAGCGCGCGGGACGGAGCGGGCGGCTGGGCTCGGGCGCCCTCTGGTGGCGAAGCCTCCCCCTCTGCACGCTGCCCCCTCCCGTCCAGTCCCGGGAAGGGGGCCGCGAGGTCCTGGAGGATCAAAGCTAAGGCTCCCCCGCATCCCTGAGCAGCCGGAAAAATTCTGCCGCCCGGATTTAGGGGCACCCCACGGAGGCCGGAACCTGGCGCGAGCTGCGGGGAGCCTCGCCTGCCAGTCTACCCAAAGCAAATGCAAAGCCTCTCGCTTGCTTCCTTCTTGCCACAAAATCAGG